AGGATGTTCAGATGAAGCTCCTGCCAGCAGGGCCTGTTTGCACACTGCCACCATGAAGGCTCACCTTCATCTGCAGTATATCTAAGAAAGGCAGTGGTTCTTGTCTCACAAAACACCACAGACCCTGTAAAATCCTTCAAGCTCTATCACTGTGGAAGCCAAGCCAGGTCTGTGGGCGAAGGATGTGGCTACTGACATGGTTCAGGGGAGCACTAGTGTGAGGCAAAATTCAGACATATTTGGGATGGATGGTTTGATCCTGTTTGTGTTTAAATCAGTTCGCTCACAAGCAGTTCTGCTCTCCTCTGGAGGTGAGGTCTGAAAACTGCAAATGGAGGCATTGCTTCCAAGCTGATCAGAAAGAAAAGGAATATTTACCAAAAAACCACAAAAATAATTCCTAGCAGTGAAGGCCCGCAGCTCTGCTTGATATAACCATGACTAAAAACAGCTACAGCAAAGGGCTGTGACTCATAATCCACTTGGAAATTAAGCTTTGATCATCAATGATATTACCTTTCCCAGCCATCCCTCTCCTGACCATGTCTGCCTCTGTAGCAAGGGTGGCAGGACCCCAATCTTACACACATATATCGTACCATAGAATGTTAGGGGTTGGAAGGTACCTCGAAAGATCAGATGAACAAACTTCCAGCCTAAATGGAAGAGAAATTCAGTGTAATGTTTAATATTTTTTCTGTAGTATATAAAAAGTAAAAGCACAGGATAGCTGTGAGGTATTTAATAGCTCAGGTGCTCAAACCATTGTTGATCATTGATTCATTAGCAGGACAGGCTAACGAACCAGCGTGAGAGGAAGGGTGGTTGTCTGATAAGGAGTCAGGATAGACATTTGACTACATGTCAGACAGCAGTTTCAGTGGCGCAGACATGACTTTACATGAAATTTCATCTCTCACCTGACTGAAGCATTTTGCAGTGATACATGAATCTCCTTTGGCAGAAACACTGCTATTGCTTTGTCTCATTCATTAGCGGTTCTCTTGGGATGACAACATGTAAATCCCACCACAAAGAACTTGGTATGTTCTGCTCTCACCAGCTGCTGAAGGAGATGGTCTTTATTTCCTTGTCCAGCGCAAGTGCCATCACATGCCTGGTGAGCTCTTATTACTGCCTGTCACTCACATTCCATGTGCTGGTGCCACAGCTGGACAAACAGGTCTGGTCATCTGCTTGGGCCAGAGTCATGGGGAGTGTTTTCCACGAAGTTTGTGTCCTTGGGAATCTGAGGCATCAGTGGACATGTAAGGGGGCACCTTGCTGACGGCAAGAACCTGCCAGGAAATTTTATTTTCTGGGGAGAAAAAGAATATCAGGGTTGGAGATTCTCATGACTTGCTGCAATCCTGCTGCCTCTGAAGCTCTGTGTCCATAGCACAGGCAGTGTCAGGGGCAGCAGCCTCCCTCCTGCCATCTCAGCTCCGCAATTTACCCAGATTAGCAGAGGCTACATTTCCAAGTGTAAGATCAATCTCTACATCTCTTCCACCAGCAACTCTTTCACTGTGATGGTCACCAATGGTGCAATTTGCAAGGATGATCCAAGGGTGATTTCCAGCTCATGAGGAAAAGCTACCAAACAGTCATGAGGTAGTCACTACTCAGTCTCCATCAGTAACCCTGCTGGTGACAGGCCAGATTAACAAGTGGGAATTTCCTTGCTCAGCTGAATACAAACAACATATAGGACTTGCATAACAGCTATAAAGATTCCTCTAGGTGGTATAAAATGGCATTTTTTGTGTCTGTAATGTAAAGCACTAGGGAGACTGATAAACCTAGGCCATACAAGACATCCTGCAAAAGCACAGGGAGGTGACTGGCTGAGGACTGTACTATGCACCATCAAATGTGCATGGCAGTTGTTATTTATCATTGTGGGATTAGCACACTCTCCAGCAAGGGGGAAGGACAGGGGCAGCCTTTTTAAAAGAAGTCTCATGCTCGTGATTTGCTTTATTCTCTGTTGTTGTTACTCATTCTTCTTTATTGTTTGTTTTTTTGTTACGGGGCAGAATACACCCAGCAAGTTGGAGTGCCAATAAACTCGTTGCATTGAAGAGCTTGTGATCAAAACAGCCCAGACAAAGCATGAAAGCACGGGGAGTATTTGAAACCCAAAGTTATTTCCTTCCCTTTTGTACTTAGCAAATGCAGATTCACTCTGACCGTACAGATTTTCCCACCGACATCTCTTAACGATCTTACATTTCGAGAGAGATGAAATTATCATGTTCTTGCTAGCAAAGAAAGGCCTTTCATGTCATTTTCTAACCACAGCCATTCAAAATGAACCACAGAGCTTGGTTCAGAGCACAATGGCTCTGAGTCATGTTGACATGTCACAGAGAACAACTGTGTTCTTGCCAGACACCTTCATATCGCTGGATAACCCAAGCAACATGGTAAAACACAGAAACAGGTGTGTGGTTTCTAATCAACCAACCTGATTTTTGAGTAAGGGATTCTGGGAGGGAGACCTCCCCATATATCCTGCTCTGTGCTTTGAAGTAGTATAGACATCACTGAAGACAGCTCCAGAGCTTAGGTTCTCACAAGGCTTTTGCAAAAGTCCAGAGCACTGATTCTAGAGTAATTGGATGCTGATGAGAGGCAAGAAGGTTGTTTTTATTTAAATAGACATAGTACCTGCTGCAGCAGCTTGATGACCATGACTGGTACCCTGTGCAACTATCATAAGTACGTATGGATAATCTGGGCTATCTGGCAGTTAAATAATTATGTGAAGCACCCACAATTCCTGTATTCCCTGACCTTTACAATAGAAACTATCTACAACTGGCACTACAAAACACTTTGGAGAAAAGACAGTCCAAATAGACAAAGCAGTGATCAGAAGAGGGAGCAAGAGAGAGGGCCATAATGGTGATCTCACTGCAGGAGCGTGATAGAGATTTGTCTGCAGATTCTAGATCTATGTGATGTTCCTATTAAGTAAATGAGGTCATAGAATCATAGAATTGTTTAGGTTGGAAAAGACCTTTAAGATCATCAAGTCCAGCAGTGCCAGGCCCACGACCAAACCATGTCCCTAAGCATCACATCTATACATCTTTTAAATACCTCCAGAAATGGTGACTCCACCACTTCCCTGGGCAGCCTGTTCCAATGCCTAACAACTCTTCTGGTGAACAAATTTTTCCTAATATCTGATCTAAACCTTCCCTGCCACAACTTGTGGGTGTTTCCTCTTGTCCTATTGTTTGTTACTTGGGAGAAGAGACCAACTCCCTCCTTTCAGCCTAGTTGTAGAGAGTGATGAGGTCTCCCCTGAGCCTCCTTTTCTTCAGACTAAATAAATCCAGTTGCCTCAGCCACTCCTCCTAAGACTTGGTTTCTCTAGGCCCTTCACCAGATTTGTTGCTCTTCTCAGGACATGCTCCAGCGCCCCAATGTCTTTCTTGTAGTTAGGGACCCAAAACTGAACACAGGATTTGAGGTGTGGCCTCACCAGTGCAGAGTACAGGGGGACAATCACCTCCTGGTCCTGCTGGCCACACTATTTCTGATACAGGGAGGTATGGTGGAAAGTCCACGCATTTTTGATGGTATATATATGTTCCTCCAAATGCCCATGGTTTCTGAGCCTAAAACCAGGCAAATTCAACACATAATCTTACTGTGTTTTCAGAGTTGAGTGTGGAAAATCCATTTCCTCAGTGCAACTGCAACTGGAAAGATCAAAGCAGCAGAGAAGCAACAGGGAAAGTGTTACAGAACAGAAGCAGGAGCAGGGGCAGTAAGGAGTAGAAGAAGACAAAGGCACCAGAGAAGAGGAGCTTGACACCAAAACCAAGCTAGCTGGGACTGCTTCGGAGGATTGTGCTATCTCAAGGGTGGGACCAGGAAGGGTAGGAGCAGCCTCTTGTGAGCAGATGCAGGGCGTGCTGTGCAGGTAGCACACGTGGCTACTGATCTGTGCGTGAATCCCCGGATGACACATGGGACTCACCACGCGTGTCACTATAGCACGCGTCCTGCAGTTTGCCTTCTGTGCCCAGGCCTCTCCAGACAATTCAGAGAGGCTCACATAGGTGAGAATTAGAGGGGGGGATGGGGGAAATACCAACGTGATGTTGACTTTAGTTGTTATCCCTTGAGACAGACTCATAGCGTCTGTAGCTATCCATTGTTTGTTGTGTGGGTGACAACTAAGGAACTCAGGGTTTAGCCCCATTTGATACGTATGTCATTCCATAACACTTACCACCTGACAGAGTTAAGAAGCCTGTCCTCACAGTGTTCTCAGGAAGAAGTGAAATATTGCTGCAGAGATGGAAAACAAGAACAGGATATTTTTAAGATTTCCCCAACACCACAGAGGGCATCTGGATTGGGACTGGAATCACAGAGAGGGTACAATCTGAACCTTGTGAGGGTTTGTAAGATCGTGACAGTGGTGTATAATGAAAGATTTTAGATTTTGATGTGAGAAAAGACTGAAAAAAATCTCCCAAGTCATTTCACATGTATGTTTCAAAAGAGCCAGAATATGTCAAGTATTTTGTAGTAGTTTCTTTTATAAAATTCATCACTGAAAATTTGACATCAAACAAAAAAATCAAGCTTTTTCTTTTTTTTCTCCAAAAAATATTGAAACATGATGATTCACTCTGTATTTGTCTAAAGCAAAATTCCAGAAAAATCAGCGGTTTCATGAAGCATTCTGGTTCCCAAGGGAGTGAGGGTAATGAAAAGAACTGTTCCTGCCGAAGTTTCTCCATAGAGCCCTGTTCAGCATCAAATCAATATTCAAGGCTCTGGTGGCACTCAGTTCTTTCCCTGTGGAGCCTCAAGACTAAGCCACTTTCTATCCAAACATCTCCCCTTAGGTACTTCCTTACTGCTTGCACCAGCTGTTCTCAGGCAACTTGGAACACGGGATGTCTGCCACTCTTCTAACTTCTCTTTTTTTTTTTTCCCTCCCTCCTTCTCCCCTTCCCGCTCTCCTCCAGGAACCTTCTGCATCATTTCACTGTGCACGTGCGTGGCTGGAATCAACTTCGAGCTCTCCCGCTACCCCCGCTACCTGTACGGACTTCCCGACGACATCAGCCATGGCTATGGCTGGTCCATGTTCTGTGCGTGGGGGGGCCTGGGCCTCACTCTTATCTCGGGCTTCTTCTGCACTCTGGCCCCTTCTGTCCAACCTGTCCCCAGGACCAACTGCCCCAAATCTAGACCTGAGAATGGGACAGTGTGCTAAAAAAAATAGCAAACAAATACACACACACATACATATATATATATATGTCTATGTATACTCATACATGCATATATATGTATATATAGTTATATATATATAATCTCAAATTAATGCCAGTGCCAAGGTAGAGCTGAGTCCAACACGGCACTCACATCTCCACCGAACTCTGTGTTGCTTTGTGCTTTCTCACAGCGATGAGAAAGCTTTTCTCTCACGTGGCTCTTCCATCCAATTCTTGACTTCAGCATCATACCTTAGAGGTCAAATGAACATACAGTTGCACCTACCTACTGCCATTTGGGAAGGGGAAGAGGGGGTCCATGTGGGGGATCCGGAACCACAATCTGTACAGGACATGGAGGGTGGGGGATCACAAAAAGCCTGTCCGCCGCAGCCAGAAGGGAAAATGCAAACAGCAAGCAAAGGAACAAATCAAGCATTTGAGCCACCTCTACAATGTACCCCCTCAAGGCCATTACCAGAAACCTACCCACTTACTTTTTCTTTCTTAAAAAAAAAATATGACAGAAGCCTGCCCTGTCACTGGTTTGGGGGGGGGTGGGTTTTGGTTGTTCTTTTTTGCTTGAAACAAAATGGACAAAACATGTGGGGAAAAGCAGAAAAGCATTTTCTTTTTGCCTGCCAAACTTTAGAGAGAAGCAAACAAGTGAAAATAAGAATAATAATGATGCTAATAAACAGATCTAACAAAATAAAACCAGAAAACAACAAGAAGAAACTCCATGAGGACATCTCAGTGGACTCTTCAACAATGCGGTTTTAATCTTCCAGCTGCCTTACATCCAGGCTTACCACTGAGGCTGAACTGCTAACGTAAATGCAGTAGAAGGCCTTTTGAAAATGCTGTGATACATGTGTGTATAATTTTTTCTTCCCTCTTCTTTTATTTATTTTTTTTAAAGAAAAAGAAAAATTTAAAACATTGCAATGTGATTGTCCACTAAACCATCCATGCTGTGTTTGTGGCCCAAGACTGAGGCACTGCAACTGCAGAAATGTGAGGAAAGCCGTCAGGTCTGAGCCAGCGTGTCTCCTCTGGTGGATTTCAGGATGGTTTTTTTGTTTTCATGGAGCATCTGAGAGTTCAGGATGGTGGACTCAAGGGAAGATCAACCAGGGAGAAGGGAGGTGGGGGGAGGCCTGGCAGTTGTTCTTCCCAAGTATTTGCTGGAGTGGGATTTTGTGAAGTTTCTGTTTTGAATATTTAAGACAACTGGGCAAAAGCCATTGCCGAGGAGAAAAGGGGAGCTAATTTTTCGTAAGGGAAAAGTAAGAAACGCCTCTTGTTGTGTTCATGTATGCCAAATAAGACCTTCCCACATCTTGTCTTTGGAAACTGCCCCAATTCACTGGACATCTCCACTCTCCATCTGGGAGAACTGTGTACAGATGAATGCGAAAGGGTCAGATGTGGAGAGCGGAGATCCATTTCCCATGAGCTCAAGCATTGTATGATATAATTGTGAATCCACAAATAAGACTCTCTCTCTTTTTTGGTCTTTCTCTTTTTCCTGCTACTCCTCTTCACGTTGTCCCCTTTTTCCTTCACTCTGCTCTTCCCATCGTTCAGGTCCCAGAAGAGCGAGTTGAACAGCAAAGTCTGGAGAGGTGGGTGAATGCCGTTAGAGGAAGCAGAGCATTTTGGCTGCAGCAGCAGTGGGTCCTTGCAGGGGAACAATGAGGAGGAAGGTGAGATGGAAGGGCCGAGGGTGTAACTAAATGGAGACGTGATGACTGAATGACCACATGCAGGAGAGAGAGTACCAATGACAAACATAGAAGCAAAGGGGTACAGGGCAAAGAAAAAAGGCCTCCTCAAAACCAATCCAGCCAAACGTGCTCTTAATTCAGGGACAGTATAGCAATCCTTTCTTACATGATAGCTGCATGCCATCAGTCCTCATTAATCAATTAAAATTATCCTCTGTATAGACAAAAACTCACCAGGAGAAGGAGGCAACTTGTTGAAGCTGTGCCTACTGCACAGAAATGAATGCATTAATTTCCAGGTCATGCCAATTACACAGCTGCCAAGAAACAGTATTTTGCTCAGTTAGAAAAATCCAACCAACAAATAATTCTTATGCAACACAACTGCATAGCCAGCCATTCCCCTTCCAGCCATGCTTCCCCTCCTCGTTAAACCTTGTGTGATGATGTTGCTTTATTAACAGTGCCCAAAGAAGGCATTTTGGAGTAGGGTAGATTTGGGTTTCTTTCATTCTTGCTACCTAGCTTTTGCTTTCTCTGGTCTACAAATTTCCCAAATTCACCAGTGCCAGCTGCCAAGCCAGTGGTTGCCACTGCAGTGCCATCCCTGGCAACTGAAATTTTGCCGTTTCGTTCTCCATTAAGTCTGACTGGGGAAAGTGTTTATTTATTTGTATTGAAAATGCCTTTTGAAAAAACTTCCTTTTTAAATAGATTGGTTTATTTCTTTTTTTTTTCTGGCAAAGTTTTCAAATAGAGTGGTTTTGAAAAGCTTTGACTGTGCAAGTGCCTACTAGGTGAGGAGGCTGATGAATTACTGTTGGAGTGAATAAGGAAATTAAAAGTAAAAACAGCTTTTGGAAAGCTAAATGAAAACTGAAAGCAGAAAGCCAACAACTGAAAACCAAAAACCTTTAAAAAGTTTGGGAAACTTTTCAAAAAATTAACAACCGTGAGAAAAAAACCCCAACTCCTCATTAAGAAATTAATGCTTTAGGGAAATGATAATTGTTGCATTAACACAGCTTTGAACACAAACTTTCTTCCTCCTCTGCAGTGCCGAGTGGGATAGGGAAGGTGTTTTACAGGTACTTGGAGTAAATGCAAGTAAACTAAAGGGCATGGAGGTATCTAGCTGGAGTCCACCATCAGCCCCTGTGCCACGGAGAGCAGCACAACGGTGCCTGTGACACGGTACAGTCTTCTCTGGTCTGTGACTGGCCACAGGGTGTGCTCTGTTCCAGATACAGTTTTGAAAGACGTATAGCAGTAAGATTTAAAGAAATGGAAGTAATTTTGCTCTTTCGTGGATTCTCAAAGCTTTCCTTTCTTTCTGCAGGCAGCATGAAAATAGTCCTGCCTTGATGAAGTGTTCTTTGATGGTGTTGGTTTACAAGCTGTAAACGAGCCTGGTTTTGTCTGCTTGTGGCGATGATGGCACAGGATTACGATTATCTTTATTTACAGCAGGAAAGTATTAATGCTGGATCTTTAGGCCAGTTCTGTGATTTTCTACTTGCCATAACATAGGCTCTTTTAAGGCATATACGACTATGAACCATCTTAAAAACTATAGGAATAAGTGTCTGAAGAAGCAGATGATCATACAGCCTTATTCTCAAACTGGATCCCTCCAGGGATCATTTGTCCAAACACTAGTTCTATCACCTTTGCCTCAAATAGGAGCAAAACCTCATTGGGATATTATGAATTTCCCTCTGTGCTACTCGCAGAACCAGGAGGAGCCCTGCATGCTTCAATACCCTTGGTGGGGATTCACAGCCCCACCATGCTTTCTCTTGGTTCAGACTCATCTTTAGAGCAGGTTTGACTCAAAATACATCCAAATCCAAAATTGCGATGGTTAATGCCTCCACCTATCCTGAGCCAAAACACACTCCCATCTAACATAAGGTTTTACATTTCTAGGAGGCTTTGAAGTATCTTTCTGAACGGAGGTTCAAGCATTTTGAGTAGTATGCGGTTTTCTAGTTGGAGGAGTAGTTAATTAGAAATCTGTTAGCTGTGATCCCAGCATTAATGGGCTTGACCATGTCCCTAAGATCTGCTTTGGCGAAGCGCCTAAGCATGTGCTTTACTTGGAGCATGTGACTAATCGCCTTAAATTTGGTAGACTATTCATATGCTTAAAGTTAAGAATGTGCTTTCCTGGATGATGTTCAGCTTCCTGCAGAGTTCAGCCCTTGCTCTTCTTTTCCTATTACCCCCCTGTAGATAGTTACACTCTTGTCCTAGCCTGATGTACCAGTTGGTGTTTGGCACGTGAAGTGGTGATGCGGGGTCCATAGCTGTCAGGCTCCTTCCTGCACGTGGCCTTTCGTGTTGCACTGCTGGGACAACACGTCTCTGTGCGCCACAGACCACAGAGGAACTCGACTGCAGCGAGCGCAGCTGTCATGAAATGCCAGTCCTAGGGACGTGGGAACAATTGGCTCAACCCACTGTGGTCTGCAGGCTGAGATTTTGAGTATAGTGACTCTCAGTTACCGTACAGTGAAGTTGTCCTCTGACCACAGTGAATTAGCTACAAGGGGTTCTGCTGTCCATCCCTGCCAGGAGCACTGTGGGTATGAGGGGGCTGCACAGCAGGAGTCCGTGTGCTCTGTATCTTAGTTACTATATTAGATACCTTCTTCTTCAAGCTGTTTATGTGTTAAAATTCCTGACTCGTATTGGCCACCTGTATATATCATCTCTCCCTTCTCCCCCTCTGCAAATACACAACTGATCTTCCCTGATCTAGATACTACAGTCCCTCCTGTTATATTTCTAGTTGGGCTTTTTTTTTTTCCTTTCATTCTACCCCAGGGACAGTCACAAGTGGATCACAAACCACCAGTGACCAGAGCAATTTCTCTGAAATACTGCTTTTGAAAAATTGACATTACTTTTTAAAATGTTATTCCAGCTGTAGTAACAAATGAAAGGGAAAAATAAACCCCTCAGAGCCCTCTAAACAGAGAATCTTCATCTTCCCCGGAGACAACCATGAGAGTGCAGGTATTCTGCTTTCCTGTAGATGTGAATCGTTTGGGACCACTTTTAGCTATGGCAGTTAGCTGTGCAGTTCATTGGATCGTGAATAAAACAATGTTGGTGAGGGAGAGGATTGATATGCAGGGGATATCTCAGGTTCCCAAGCATTCCTGGAAGACTGTCTCCATGGCTGTCCATCTACACACCACGCAGCGCCTCCGAATCAGGCTCATCCCTGGAGCCCCACTGATAAGCAGAGCTCAGAAGAAAATCACTGTAATCTGTCCTTAATTCTTGAGTGCCAAGCTAACTGCCAGCAGTGAAATGGAGAGGAAATAATATGTTACCAAGTATAGCTTAAATAAAGACATACATTATTCGGGCTCTTTCTTCTGTGTGTCTCTACATAGGCCTAGAAGGGCTATAGGAGTGCTCAAGCACATTCACACAAAACAACACCGCATTTCCTTGCCTCCAGGTTTCGCACTCTTTCATGGCCCATACTGCTGTGCTCACCCAGCCAGCAAGGGAAGACTCAAGGTGAAAAACTGAGACAGCTCTGAACAATTGCCAGGCACCATTGAGAGACAAGGAATAAAAAGTGTGCATGAAGCACAAATGGCATGTAAAGATTAGTGATGGATGAATTTACAAGCTCAGGAACTGAGTCTCAAAAAAGACTAAAGTTTGATTGCAAATTCCAGGCCAGATCCATAAGATCTTTATTCTGCCAGTCTAAGCTAAAAATTCATAAAATGAGGACTTAGCTCAAAACTTACAGTCCCACTGTTTCC